AACATGACCATGTTTAATATTAATATTAAAAATGCACTTACTTTCTCATTTTTTGCACTGCAGTGGAAGAGATGGAAGGTTAGATAGGTACCTAGGTAGATAAAAATTGTATGTAAGAACAACTTACACAGAAAGTTGTAACAATGTATATCAAAAAAAGAATGCCTCTGCAGAGGCGTGAAAAATGTTTTAGGGTGAAGGTTATCTTGAATGGACATCTGCCTGTGTTGGTCCTGTATTGGCCCCAAGCAGCCTCAGAGAATTCAACTGTTGACAATAAGAAATAAATTATTTTGACATGTCATGGATATTGATATATCAATTTGCTATAGATGGAAATGCCAGAGAGATACAGTCACTAAGAGAAAAGGCTATGAAAGAATACACAATACTTAATTCAGATTTCAAAACTGTTACCCCCATATTTCCACCTTCCCACCTCTATCGCTATCAGTACCATTGGCAGAGTGGTAATGTTGACAATATTGGCTAACTTTACTAATCTGTTGTATTTGTAACAATCATTTACAGTAGGAATTATTGCAGTGTTTTAAATGTGTTAATTTTTAAGAAGTTGTTGTTGATCACGTGAATCGCATGAAATATTAGTACCATTTTATAAACCTTAATAAAGCCACACCTGGAATACTGCATCCAGTTTTGGTCACCACATTACAAAAAAGATGTTGAGACTTTGGAAAAAGTGTAGAGAAGAGCAACTAAGATGGTTAAAAGCCTGGAAACTAAAACATGAAGAACAGTTGCAGGAACTGAGTATGGCTAGTCTAGAGAAAAGAAGGACTAGAAGTGGCATGATAACAGTATTACGGTATTTGAGGGGCTGCCATAAAGAAAAGGGGGTCAACTTATTTTCCAGAGCACCAGAAGGCAAGACAAGAAACAATGAATAGAAACTAATCAAGGAGAGAAGTAACCTGGAATTAGGGAGAAGCTTCCTAATAGAACAATTTTTCATCAGGTTCGCCTGATCCGCCAGTTGCGTCCCTTTCTAGATCAGGACTCCCTACGCGCGGTCACTCATGCCCTCGTCACCTCCCATCTGGACTATTGTAACGCTCTCTACATGGGGCTCCCCTTGAGGAGCACTCGGAGGCTCCAACTGGCGCAGAGTGCGGCCGCGCAGGTGGTAATGGGAGCGACGTGGCGCTCCCATGTAACACCTCTCCTGCGCAAGCTGCACTGGCTCCCGGTGGTCTTCCGAGTGCGCTTCAAGGTTTTGGTTATCACCTTTAGAGCGCTCCATGGCTTAGGACCTGGTTATTTGCGGGACCGCCTGCTACCACCAATAGCCTTCCACCGACCAGTACGCTCCCATAGAGATGGGCTCCTCCGGGTGCCGTCGGCCAAACAATGTCGACTGGCAGCCCCCAGGGGGAGAGCCTTCTCTGTGGGGGCACCTACTATCTGGAACGAGCTCCCTCCGGAGATACGGAGGATCCCGGATCTGCGTACCTTCCGTCGCGCGCGCAAGACGTTCTTATTTCATCAAGCTGGCCTGACCTAAGTTTTTCCCCTTTTTAAATGGAAATTTTAAATTTAGTCTTAAATTATTTGGGTTTTAAATTTTCAGCCAAATTATTTAATTCGTTTTACTTTATTTTAAATTTTGTAGTCATATGTTTTATTCTATGGCTGAGTCCTTCGGGAGTAGGGCGGTATACAAATTGAAATAATAAATAAATAAATAAAAACAATTAACCAGAGGAACAGCTTGCTTTCAGAAGTTGTGGGTGCTTCATCGCTGCAGTTTTTTAAGAAAAGACTGGACAGCCACGTGTCTGAAATGGTATAGGGCAGGGGTGCTATTAGAGCAGGTTCTGACAAGTTCTGGAGAACCAGTAGTGGAAATTTTTGAGTACTTCGGAGAACCGGCAAATACCACCTCTGGCTGGCCCCAGAGTGGGGTGGGAATGGAGGTTTTGCAATATCCTTCCCCCAGGAGTGGGGAGGGAATGGGGATTTTGCAGTATCCTTCCACTGCCATGCCCACCAATCCATGCCCACAGAACCGGTAGTAAAAAAAAAATTAAATTCCACCACTGGTATAGGGTCTCCTGCTTGAGCAGGGGGTTGGACTAGAAGACCTCCAGGGTGCCTTCCAGCTCTATTGTGATTTATCTTCTCTAAAGGATATTTATGATCTACCCCAGATAGTGCACCAAGATCAAGGCAGAAGTATAGGTTTTCGGTACCAATTCCTACCTTAAGTGTCTACATGTAAGAGATACACAATCAGGATACATTGTTCAGATATTTAAATCTTGACAGGAGGTTATAGAATCTCTCATAATGAATGCAAGCATGCTAATTTTTAAAACTTGGTTGTGAAAAGCATAAATAAAAAAACTACAAAATCATGGGGGGGGGGGTGGAAATCAGGAAAAGCATGTTTTCTGATAACCTTTTTCATTTACTCTACCTAACTGCATGTGATAGTTGTAATTATTTGTTGTGCTTCTGCATTTGAGACAAAACCACACATCTTCCTAAGTGGCTTGCCTTGCTGATTTCCTTCTACTCCTAGCTCCTGCTTTCCCTCCTAGAAAGAAAATCTCTGCGTCAATTGCCCCTTTTAGTGAACCTCTAGAACCCGTTCTATCACAAAGTATTTTTCTAAAGACACGCTTCAGTGCTACTGCAGCTGTACTGAACCTTTGCCAGTGCTTGGTGAATCGTCTTTTTTTCTTCTTCCCTGCTCAGAGGCTCTTAAAATATTTTGTGGATGGCTTTGTGGAAGATTTATCCTTGCTTCAGATGCTGCATAGAAATCTCATCTCTTAGAAATTTACATTGCTGGTCTTCTTCTTCTTCTTCTTCTTCTTCTTCTTCTTCTTCTTTTTTTTTTTTTGCTGCAATATTGGCACTCCAGTCCCAATTTTTTTTTAATTTTGTTAGACCCTTTAACAGTGTCAGGAATTATTTTGCTAGATTTTTCTGAGCTAGGTTTTGGGGTTGCAAAAATTTCATTACCATATTATATAAGCATCTCTGCAGAAGATAGGGAAACCTATGCTGTTTTTCCTCTGGGTTGTTACAGAATTTTATTAGAGAACCCTCCATATCATAATCATTTATTATGAGGAGCTGTAGCTTTCAGAAAAAGTTTACCTTAAACATGGGCAAACGGGCAAAGTTAAATGAGAAAAATGTTTCACGCTACCAAGGGAATGCACTTTTTTGAGCAAGATATGAACACTCGACTTAAAGAGATATTCATCTTGATTTGCTTCTGTATTTAAAAGATGCTTACATCCTTACAAAAACATACACCCTCAGGGCAGTCTGCAACCAATATATTTTAAAGAGAAGCCTTTTTTAAAAAATGAAATGATAGAATTTATTGGAAAGGAAAAGCCAAGTCATCCAATTCAATTTCCTTTCCAGTGCAAGAGTTACACTGTAAATTCTGTTTCTTCTCAAAGAGCGTGGGGAATATGACTACCAACTCTTGAGTTGCAAACAGTTCACAACTGCCATATGGCAGCACAGAGATAAAGAGAACTCTAATTCATTTTTACCATCTAGTGGTTGTCTGCAGTTTATCAGCTCCTGTTTGGAAGTCTTGGTGGGGATTTTTTTAATTTACCGAATTACAGAATCGCAAAACTCAAAGTGATCTCGAAGGTCAAAATGTACTCCAATCCTCTGCTTAGCACAGGGTATGTTAAGACCTTTTGACAAGAGATTATCCGGTCTCCGTTTGAAGATTTCCAGTGAATGGGAACATACCACTGCATAAGGCTTCCTCATAAGAAGGAAGTGATATTATTCCTCAAAATATGTAACCTGATTTTACTTCTCAACCTTTCGGTCCATTGGTTCTGTCCCTTTCCTTCCACATCAGTATAGAAGCACTTCTCTGTCTGACAAACCTTTAGATAATTGAATATTACTATTGTAACTTCCCTCAGTCTTCTGTTTGGCAAGCCAAATTTACCCAATTCCTTTGACCATTCCTTACACCACTAGCTTTCCTGTCCACTTGATAGCTCTCCTCTGGCCTTGCTCTAGGACAATAGTTTATAGAAATTGATGCAATATTGTAAGTAAGACTTGATTAAGTAGAGTGGATTATATATGTCTGAATATAAACACTGAAAATAGTGTTTGACTTTTTAACTATTTCATTGTTGCTCCTGTTCAGTTTGGGATGTACTAAATATTCAGATCTTTTGTATATATACCATTATCAGGTCTCCTTTATTTTTGCCCTTTGTTTTCTCCCAGATACAGGAGAAATGCATTTCGCGATGTTACGTTCTATCTTGTTCGTTTTGGCTCATTGCTCCATTTCTAGGATTGAATCTTTTCTTTTGTCTTCTAAAGTGTTAGTCGCTCCTCAATCCCATTATCTGTAAGAATGTTGATCAACACAAGGCCTGGATTAAGCCTCATACCATCTCACTTGATACTATTTTCTAGGCAGATCTGAAACCAGTCTTCAGTGCTCAAGACTGGGAAAGATCATTTAGCCAAATGAATCCATCTTTTTATCATCTATCCTGCAATTTATCATGTTATTAATGAGACACTTTGTTGAATGTTTTGTTGAAGTTAGGGGATATATCAACAGCATTCTCCCAATATCTTTCTTTCTATCTATCTATCTAGCTAGCTAGCTAGCTATCCATCCATCCATCCATCCATCTATCTATCTCCCTCTCTCTCCCTCTCTTTCTCCCTCTCTCCTTCTCTCCCTCTCTCTCTTTGAAAGAAAGAAGAAAGAAAGAAAGAAAGAAAGAAAGAAAGAAAGAAAGAAAGAAAGAAAGAAAGAAAGACTGAATTAGAGAGAGAAACGGGTTAGTTTAGAAAGCCAGTGCGTAGTCTCATATTTTCATATCCATTATTTAAGCATGTTTTAACTATCTTTGTAATTTTGATGAAGCTGTACAATACTGTCAATATATTATAAGTAACAACTATTCCTTTGAATAGTATACAGTTCATTGCTTTCTTTTTTCTACCCCATCTTTCTACAGATTGTGAGTGTTGGAAAACATGTTAAAGGCTACCATTACATTCTTGCAAATCTGGTAAGAATCCTTTTTTATAGTTCATTTCATGGCAAGCTAGTTAAATGATAAACAACCGCAAGAAAGGGAAATATGGTGTTGATTTAGTGATGAAAATTGAAATATCATTGTTGGTTCTGAGCTGGCCTCATCTAATGTAGTGCTAATACATTAAAACCATGTGTTGGTTTTCTTGATTCTGTTTAACCTTTCCTCCTTGAAACACTCTTTATCACTAGTCCTTGTGACCGTATCTCAAGGAAAGGTCATGCAGCACATTCCTTCCATCCAGTGATGATGGTGAAGATACCAACATTGCAAAGAGGGTTGCAATGCAATTTCCCCACCCTCCTCCCTTTGTACCTGTAGAGTCCAAGTTCAAAAGGAATAGGATTTGCATTATAATTAGCCATCCTGCTAATTTTGATATGAGTGTAGGAGATAACCAGGTTGAGCCTGAGGGAGGGGTCAACCATATCTTCAGTCATGAGTCCCTGAGCACCCACAAGAGATCTAAGTCCAGCCCACCTTCAATGCCTTCTTATCTCCCGCTTATTGCCCTTGACTATTAGTAGTTCAGATTCTTGCAGAGAGCTTAAACTTGCAATAAATCTTTATACTCATTTGAACCGCCTGAATTTCCTGATTTCCCCAGCGCTTGACAATGTGTACTATGAATGAATGAATGTGTCTGTGTGTGTGTGTGTGTGTGTATAACATCTACTAGGTTTTATGTAAATCATATACCACCTTAAATATATCTGTATAAATGTTACATAAATGCAAGTCAAGTGCAATCCAATTAATTTTAATTATAATAATAAACTGCCCCAATCTCTTAAGAGTTCTTACCATAACAAAATATAGCTTCCTATAACAAATAAGAGAAAAGGGGGAAAAAACCTATTTCTTCAACACTCTTTATAGAAATGCCAACTTTTCCTGCAAAAAGGAAAAATGAATATGTTACAACTATTTGCTACTGTTAAATATGTAATTTATATACTGTATTTCATTTTAAGGAACTAAATTTCAAAAATTTAGAAAAGTAAAAATAATAAAAATTAATTATTGAACTTGCTCTCAAGTTATTTTGAGAAGACCAGTATTAAATAAAGGCGATATACTAAATAAATAGATAGGAAACAAATAAATAGAAATAAATAAATAAATAAATAGAAAATATACTATTCTGCAGTTTCCCAAGAAACCATCTGCATAATAATTAGTGGGGGGAAAAACATGTTCTCTGATTTTTTTTTTCACTTTTATATTTTTTAAACCTTAAGTTTTATAGTGGATATTTTTGAATCAAACTCATTACATGAATGAGTTACTCCCTATATCAACACAATATATGATAATGAATGATAGGAAAAAATGAATGATAGGATCAGTAAAGAGAATTGGTAATACTTTTTGAAATGTCCCAATTACTGACAATGTTACTATTTTACATGTGATGCATTTTTAAATGTGATAGTAAGAATTAAAAAGTTATTGTCAATTTATTGATAGATGCCAAAATCATTGCATCTCACTGTGATAAAATTTATCTCACTTTATCATACTGCCCCTACAAAAATAATAAGATACATAGCAGTAATGCTGATATCGTTTAACTTGTTTATGTAAATCAGATTAGCAAAGAAAAGTTTGTAAAAGGGTTATTAATTATTTTCTGCAGCTATTAGTATAAGAAGAGGCGCAGTGGCTCAGTTGCTAAGACACTGAGCTTGTCGATCGAAAGGTCGGCAGTTCAGCGGTTTGAATCCCTAGTGCCGCGTAACAGGGTGAGCTCCGGTTCCTTGTCCCAGCTTCTGCCAACCTAGCAGTTCAAAAGCACGTAAAAAATGCAAGTAGGAAAATAGGGACTACCTTTGGTGGGAAGTTAGCAGCGTTCTGTGCGCCTTTGGCATTTAGTCATGCTGGCCACATGACCACAGAGACGTCTTCGGACAGCGCTGGCTCTTTGGCTTTGAAACAGAGATGAATACCGCCCTCTAGAGTCGGGAACGACTAGCACATATGTGCAAGGGGAACATTTACTTTTATTAGTATAAGATATGGTGTATTTTATTTATTATTTTTTTCCACTGTGAACTCATTTTAAATTATTTATACTTAAGTAGATAGTTGTAGTATAATAATTTTATTTTTACGTGTTTGTATTGGTAATTGCAATACTGCTGGGCTGGAATGAGACTGCTTGCAATGGAAAAAGCCAATTATTCAGTGTCTGACACAGCAAAAAAAAAAAAAACAACTGTCCATACTAAGCAAGAAAGAACTATCTGTTTTTCATCCTTCGAGTGGTTTGCTTCACTTCCATTAAATCAGGACACTAGCCTACAGCAAGAAATTGATGTACATTAGGCAGTTTGTGACAAGTATGGGACAAGGGCTGAATACCATATTGTGTCCCATTTTCAAGCCTGAGAATTCCAAGATCAATAAAGAAATGCCACAAAAGTTTACTGAGGGAGAATATATGAATACTGTATAAACTTTTCTCTCCATCTTTAGATGAGAGATCTAAGAAAGATCTTGTGGCCTCTGGGATGCCTTTAAGGGAAAAATAGGAGCAATCAAACTAGCTATTTTCAATAGCCTGTGTTAAATATGAGTCAATATGGAAGCAACTCTAGAATTATATCAGTGTACAATTAAATAAAGTATGTATAAATGAATGAATGAATGAATGAATGAATGAATGAATGAATGAATGAATGAATGAATGTGTTATATTGTATTGGAAAATGGAACAGTTGTATTCATTTTAAACACACCTGAGGATCAGATTAAAATAGTCGAATAATGAAATATAACTTTTTAACTTAACCGTTGTAATGACTAAATATCAGTGAAAAAGTTTTAATGACATGCTGTGGATGAAAATACAACATGATGGAAATTTGTTTTTAACAGGGATTCAAAGATATTTCCCTGGACAGATTTATGCATGGAGGAGCCAACATCACAGGGTTTCAATTAGTGGACTTCAATACACCTATGGTTTCTAAACTCATGCAACGGTGGAAGAAACTGGACCAGAGAGAATACCCAGGATCAGAAACTCCCCCTAAGGTTCTATTCTACATTAAAATCTGAAATCACCTTTCATATAACCATACTGCAGTTATAAGTAACTGCCTAATATTGTGAAGATTGACTTTTATGTGTTAATTAGGTTCCCTCCTCCCCTTCTACTTAATCTTCATACTTTGTTTTTCCCCAGCCTGGGACTTTTATCCCGTAGTTGACCAAACTAAGAGCACTGAGATAAATATAATTTTGGTGGTAATATTAGCCTTAGTTCTTCTGGGTATAGATGTGATGGAGTTTAGTGAAGGATGTCTTGGATAATTATTTTAAGACATTGTTACAGGGACTGGTACATTCCACTCTATATCCAGAATGATCTCATTCTTCACTTGGAGGTTGAATCAGAATAAGAAACAAATGATGATGTTACATAGGTGGGTAATGAAATGTCTGCAAACAAATAACCAAGCTTAGGGCTTGGTTTAGCTCAACCCTGAACTACAGATATTCCTTCTGTTGTCCTTTTTGAGATTGAGTGAAACAACTCTTTCCAGTTATGGTGAAACCTATTTAGTATTCATTAGTGATCTGACTTTAAAAGAATAATCGTTATTGTATGTATTGTTCCCTATTGGCTATTTAATTAAGAATTCCCAAATATCTTATATCTTTATAATTATTCTGAATTTTTTACTTTATCCATTCCTAATTAGTTGTTTACACAATTTCTATCAGTTTTGTTATGTCCAAAATCAATTATTGCATCTTTGAGGGGTTTTCTGTTCTCATGGGCAGGTCATAAAGTTATATTACTGGCTTTGCCTTTGTGAAAGGAAAGTATTGACTCTTCCCTCTTGGATCCAATCTTATCTGAACAAAAGTACATTTTATGGGAAGTCCAACTTTCCAGTATTTTTGTAATTCCTAAAATAACCTTATACAATATAACTTCAGAATTAAACTTCATATTAATGTCCCAAGAATGCGGCGATTTTATCATCCTCATTTACTAAGAAATCTTTCTCAGCTTGCTGAACTAATGCTTGTCAATTGAGGAATCAAAGGTTTAATAGATTTATTTTTGAACATAATTGTAATAATAGGTATTATTGATGTACAATTTTTCCATCTAATTAGTATACCTCTGCTCTGACTTATGATGGAGTACTTGTGATGGCCGAGACTTTCCGAAATCTTCGAAAGCAGAAAATAGATATTTCTCGAAGAGGAAATGCTGGGGATTGTCTTGCAAATCCAGCTGCACCATGGAGCCAAGGGATTGACATGGAGAGGACATTGAAACAGGTGTGGTTCTTATAAGATATACATCTGCTTGGTTTTTGTGGCAGCTGCTATGTTGGAAATTATCACAAACATTTAAACTTCCAAACAGTTATTGGATTAGTGCAGGGATGTCAAACTCAAGGCCCAGGGGCCGGATCTGACCCATGGGATGCTTAGATCTGGCCCACAATGCTGCCCTGGAAATAGCAAAGGACCAGCCCGCAGTACCTCTGTCAGTGAAAACAGAGCTCAAGAGGCCCTACTGAGCTCCTTTTTCTCTGGCAAAGCCGTTGCAGCCAAAAATGGAGCTTGGGAGCCTGTTTTTCTGGCAGAGTGCTCGGACCACCACAGGCTCCCCCAACACAAGTGACGTCAAGCTGACCAAGCCCACCCTGGCCCCTGAAGTTCAAATACAACCCTGATGCAGCCCTCAATGAAATCAAGCTTGACACCCCTGGATTAGTGTTTTACATTTAATTAATTAATGAAATAAAGTAACAACTGTTTCTTTAGTGATCTTTCGAAGTTACAATGGCATTGAAAAAAAGTGATTTATCACCATTTTTCACACGACCATTGCAGCATTTCCCTGGTCACGTGATCAAACTTTGGATTTCCCCCCCCCCCCCGCCCACATTTCCTGTGTTTTAAAGCTTGGAGACTAGCAAACTGAACCGCCTTGTGGTGAGATGAGCAGAAAAAAATAATAATGAATAAAATGAATAAACATATGAGCCACGGTGGCACAGTGGTTACTTCTGCTGCCTGCCGACTGCCTGCAATTTGGCAATTAAAATCTCACCAGGCTCAAGGTTGATTTAGCCTTCCATCCTTCTGAGGTGGATAAAATGACGACACAAAATGGTTGAGGGTAATATGCTGACTCTGTTATCCACTTAGAGAGGGCTGTAAAGCACTGTAAAGGGTATATACCTTATTTTTTGGAGTATTAGATGCACATTTCCCCCCCTAAAAAGTAGGTAGAAATGTCTGTGCGTCTTATACTCCAAATATTGTGACAGGGAGGAAAGGGGTTGGTGCAGTGCCGATCAGCTGTTCTAGAATGGGCCATGGCAGTGGCAAATCAGCCGCTGTGGCGGCAGCGAATGGGCGGCGGCAAACGGGCCACGCCAAACAGGCCACGGTGGCAGTGGCAAATGGGCTGCACCGAACGGACCACAGTGAACAAGCCATAGCGGCGGCAAACGGGCCGCAGCAAACAGGCCAGATGAATACCGGACAGATGCTGGGAAGCAGAGACAGATTTTTTTCCCCTTGTTTTCCTACCCAAAAGCTAGGTGCGTCTTATAGTCCGGAGTGTCTTATAGTCCGAAAAATACAGTAAGTCTTAAGTGCTATTGCTATTGCTATATTTACACCACTGATACAAACAGAATGAAATGTAGGGGACTGGCGGCACCAATGGAAAAAAGCATAATGCAGCACAAACTGCAATCCTTTTGTGCATTGTTGCTTTTCTCATTTCGACAAAAGGGTCAGTTCTTGCAGCTGCCCCTGTTCATGCTGTATTTGTCATTCAGATGAAAGTTACTGGAGTGCAAAGAACTTTAGTTCTGCTCCGTATGCTGGTTTTGTATGAAATGGAAGATACATTCTCAGGTTTAGAAACCACTGTATGATTCTTCCAGTTATGCTTTCTCAGCTCAACAATATTTGAGGAGTTCTCATGAGGGAAAATTTGAATGGGACTGATTTGTGTATATCCTTGAACTTCTCAAGGAAGTGGGGAATATAAATCTAAGTAAAAAGATAGGATAACATTTTCCTGGAGTGGACAACATTAATTCATTCCATGTTGAACAGAAGCCAGGGTTTTTTTCCCCACAAAGTTATGAGGTAAAAAAAGTGATTTATTGCCGAGAGACATGAATGTGGAAAAACTATATGAGCTAATTTCACATCACAATGTTAAAAGAAAACGAAAAGTTTATATTTTTGTCTAAGAATTATTTTATGTTTTTCAATGTGCATGCCAAATGCATTTGTGCCACCCTGAAGATCTATTTAACTTTGATGGCTCCACATAATTCACAATTCTAAATAATCTCTCAATCTTTCTGCTTTATTATATCACTTAAGAATGAAATAAAACAGAGGAATTTTCCAACCGCCTTGTACTGCGGTTGGAAAAAAGTTATGTGGCAGCTTGCCAAACGAGATAAGGTGTGTTGAGAAATATTCCTTTGAAAAACTGTTTGGACAAACCTTTGCTGATTATGAATGAACGCAATTCACAGTCATGTAAATAAAAGAGGTTTTGCCGGAACCAATTTCTGCCTCCTGCTTGTTAAGGGAGCCTAGGTCAGAACAAGTTTTCAGATCCAGTCTGAGGGTTTTTTAGGCTTTCTTTTCATAAAGAATTGGTTAGATCTAGGAAAAGAAAAAGTTAAAAAACAACAACAACCCTAAAGCGACTGTAAAAAATTCATTTTCTTGAGAAATTTTTCATATTGTTCTTTTCTCCCTCCTATTTTACACCATTGGCCAGTATGATGTAGAAATTAAGTACTATATTGTCAAATATTGTAGATAACTGAGTGCTGTAGAACAATGAGATGGTGATCCCACTGTATTATAAAAGTGGTTAGAATATTTCTATTTTTTTAAAAAAAAGATACAAACATTTGGGCATTTGGCACTTTTTATTTTAGTCTTTAGCAGGGTGGATTTGATTTAAATCGAGTTGATTTAAATCACAATTTAAATCATGATTTAAATCACTAGTAAAAAGGCTTGATTTAAATCAACTTGATTTAAATCATAATTTTTAAAGAGCAACTGTCATCTCTGCTACTCCTTTGACCCACTGTTGACTCACCGATAGTCCCAGTGTTGCAGAATATACAGCCTCATGCTTCATAACTAAGCTCCATTTCGTGCTGAATAAACTAAATTATTTATGTATCTTAAATAGAAAACTATCTTACGATAGATTTTTACCCCAAAAGTTTTTTATTAAAATAAATTCGATAAAAATCAAAAAAATCCGATTTAAATTTAAAAAATCTGATTTTTTTGATTTTTTTAAAAAAAATCATTGATTTTTATCCACCTTGGTCTTTAGTTATGTACAGAAACTGCTAGGGAGTGGTACCAGAAATTTGCTATTGAATTTTCATCCTGAGACACTCTAAAAGTGACTTTAAAAGTTAGCTACATATAATCCCTAGGCTATGTACTGACCTTCCTCACTTCCAACATTTCAAGGACAGAGGACCTGATATATACTCGAGGCTTTGGATTCAGTCTAAATTCAGATTCTAGAGTGGGATGGGATGAGGTCTTCAACAAAACTTATAAAGGTTTGTTGAAGAACAAAGTGTTAAACACCAAAAGCACACAGAGATTGCTAAGATCTTCTTTCATCCTTATTAAAACTAGGGGTAGAAAAATGAATCTGAGTAAACAGTTAACATATCCCTCAATTAACAATCCTGTGAAAAAAAGGTTTACTTCTATATCTTTATCTTGCAATAAATAAGTACTTTTATCACTAATCCATATTTTAATTTTATGTCCAATTTGAAGGTTCGAATACAAGGACTGACTGGAAATGTTCAGTTTGACCACTATGGTCGCAGAGTCAACTATTCAATGGATGTATTTGAACTGAAGAGCACAGGCCCTCGAAAGGTGCGTTCTAATTCTGCATTATTTGTTTAGTTCATCCATATGTGTCTTTGTGTCTATAGAAATTGTTAATAGAACTCAGTTTAGCTAATAAATCCAATTATGTTTGCAGCACCAACCATTTTATTATCCGGATTTTAATAATACTCTTATTATTAGAATATAAGTATGCAATTTTTCATATGATAAGACACAGCCTCTTTCTTTGTCATAAGGAAAGAATCCTTTGTTTGCTGGACTTTTTGTTTTCATAATAATGGTGTAAAAAGCAAGGTTTGAGTTAGGAATACAAAGACAAATAAAGGAACCCAGAAGTAAAATAGCTGGTTAATTTGTCCTCATTACTGTGCAAAACTTAAAACACTTTAGGACAATTCAAATGTTTCAATGAACTGATTGCTTTTATTATTATTATTTAATATGAAGTTTCGGAACAAGAGATCTGGAATATTAAGAATATTTGCTCACCCATTTCATTTGTAATTAGAGTCCAGTAAGAGGAGACAGACATAATGTCTTGACTGTATGCTCACAGAGATTATTTTGTTTATTTGTATTTCACCTGTATTATTTTTACAAATAGCTCAAGGCAGTGAACATATCCAACACACCTTCCTCCTCCTAGTTTCCCCATAACAGCCCTGTGAGGTGGGTTGGGCTGAAGATAGTGTCTGCCCCCAAGGTGCTTTCGTGCCTAAGGCAGAACTAGAACTCATAGTCTCAGAACTTCTATCTAGAGCCTCAACCACTAGAGCAATTTGTAGTTTGCTGAAACACAGGAAACTGAGTTTCCTCGTACCTTTCAAATATGCTCTATAAAGGTAAAGATTCCCCTTGCACATATGTGCTAGTTGTTCCCTACTCTAGGGGGCAGTGTTCATCTCCATTTCAAAGGCGAAGAGCCAGCGCTGTCCGAAGACGTCTTCGTGGTCATGTGGCCGGCATGACTAAACACCAAAGGTGCACAGAACACTGTTACCTTCCCACTAAAGGTTTTTTCTACTTGCATTTTTTACGTGCTTTTGAACTGCTAGGTTGGTAGAAGCTGGGACAAGTAACGGGAGCTCCCCCTGTTCTGCGGCACTAGGGATTTGAACTGCTGAACTGCCGACCTTTCGATCGACAAGTCTTAGCCACTGAGCCACCATGTCCCTATACTTGTGACTTAATATATAAAATTGAAACATAGTAATCCCTTTTCATTTGGGTATATACTTTGTTGATGGTTGCCTGATGTAAGAGTTGAAGTCGGACATCAACTATCTAGAATTCGTGTCCTCCAAAGCCCAATACTTCATTTCTGACATCAATTTTCTGAACAAGGATAGGTCATCAGAAAAAAAAAAGTTATAGGCTTTTAATTTTAGTGCCAAGAAATATCCTTGCTTCTTATGGTCTATGTACTATGATTTATGGTTCCTTCAGCAATATCTATTTAGGACATTCCTTTTCTTCTTATGCATCAGAACATTTAAGGGCAGGAGAAAACACATGTATTTTTATCACCCAACTTTTTAATATCTTTTTAAAAAACCATTCGCAGTGGTGCATGTTTTCATTTCTGCAATTAAATTCCTAATCTGCCTGCCCACTTTAATCGTCCTATTTTTCATACACAAAGTTTTGTTCTGTTCATTGTATTTCCTCTGTTGGAGAGTTACACAGAAGAGGGCTTTTTTTTTTCTCGCCTATGTGAAAAATCAAAATAAAATATTATCAACTACAGCCAGTTTCTTAAATTAAAATATTCACGTTCAGTTCTGTAATTAGAAACAGACTGGTATTTTGTAAATGAAGATGATATAGTAACTAGAATCCCAGTAGATGAAATATTACAAAGCAAGTCTATACTAAAAATGCATGGGTTGATCTGAATCCATCTCAAGCTTTTTTTTAAAAAAAAAGGTTTCACAGATCATTCTATTATATCAAGGGCTGTTATTATATTTCTGGCTTGGGTTTTGTTAATACTTTCATGTACAGCTTTCCCTAATGAGTCCTTGAATTTGATGAAAGACATTGTGCAAAACATCTCTTGAGAACATCTCTTCTGTTAAGACAAACAGTATCTGCTTTCCCTTTCAACCACATTCCTTGGCAAGTTAGCAAGGCTATTTACAGTTAAATGGGCTCTCCCACCTTCTCCTCCTCACTGTTTTAACTGATAATTAGCCAGGGAGGAGGGAAGCCATGAGATTTAAAATATTTTGTAAAAGGAACTTTTCCACTCCGCTGCACAGCTTAAACATTTTCTAATAGTATATGTCTGCATACTATAATGTTGGTTTGATATAGATGTACACTGTTCTATTCCCAAAGACTGCCCCTATTTAGCGATAAGAAATGGGGAAGTAGACTGGACAGTACTTTTCTCTCTCCCTCTTAGACTGGCTGTTTTCTTTGACTCTTAGTCCTTCACTTTCAATTAGTGTCTTCTGTTTCACCTTCAGAACTTCTACTCTCAATAGCTGGCTAATCACCAATCTTCAACACTCTTATTTGGATGGTGTCCTGTTCTTCTCAGGCTTCTTCTTCTCAAGTTTGCAACACTTCATCAGTGCAACACTATTCTGCCTAACTCAGGCCACCAACCCATATTGCCTATAATTAAAACCAACCAACTTCCCCTTCTTATGCTGTCTAGCTCTAACTTATGTTGCCAACCATTATCTTCTTCAATCAGTGTTCTTTCTTCTTCCCCAAACTTGCTTATTTAGGATTTAAGAGCCTTGGTGGCGCAGTGGTTAGAAGGCAGGTTACTTCTGTTGATTGCCAAAGTATTTGGCAGTTCGTATCTCACCAGGCTCAAGATGGACTCAGCCTTCCGTCTTTCTGAGGTCGGTAAAATGAGGACCCAGATTGTTGGGGGCAATATGCTGACTCTGTAAACCACTTAGAGAGGGCTGTAAAGCACTATGAAGTGGTATATAAGTCTAAGTGCTATTGCTATTGCTATTCCCTTCCACCAGTTCAGCAGCCACCCCACCCTTCTCCTATGAAAAAGACTTTCCTTTGCCAAATCACCTCCTATTCTTAGCTTCTACATATGAGATAAAAAGTACAAAAATGCATTTTGGGATTTCTGGTTACTAAAGGTAGCCCTCAACTGATATCCATACATTTAGTGACCATTTGATGTTACAACAGCACTAAAAAAGTGACTTACAGCCATTTTTCACACTTACAACCATTGCAGCATCCCATGGTCATGTGATCAAAATTCAGACATTTGGCCAGTTGCAAACTTACGTTGCCAAACTAATTATGATTAATGGGAGTGTCCCGAGGTCATGTGACCATCTTTTGTGACTTCCTGGCAAGCAGAGTCAATGGGGAAACCAGGTTCACTTATCAACCGTGTTACTAACTGAACAACTGCAGCGATTCACTTAGCAACTATTTTTTTTTAATTTGATTTATATACTGCCCTTCTCCAGAGACTCAGGGCGGCTTACAATGCGTTAAGCAATAGCCTTCATACTTTTGTATATTTATACAAAGTCAGCTTATTGCCCCCACAAACTGGGTCCTCAATTTACCTACCTTAGAAAGGATGGAAGGCTGAGTCAACCTTGAGCCTGTTGAGATTCGAATTTACAGTAATTGCAGACAGCTGGTGTTAATCACAATGCTATCAGTCTGCTGAGCCACCAGGCCCTATGACATGAAAAGGTCATAAAATAGGGCAAAGCTTACTAAATAACTTGCTTAGCATTTTGGGCTCAATTGTGATTGTAAGTAGAGAGCTATCTGTATGTGATGGGAAGTAGGCAGTGGTGGGATTCAGCCAGTTCGCACCACTTCGGGAGAACCAGTTGTTAACTTTCTGAGCATTTGGTGAATTGGTTATTGGAAGAAATAATTAGGACAGAGAACCGGTTGTTAAATTATTTGAATCCCACCCTATTTGGAAGTCGGGTGTCACATGTCTCCATTATAAAATTTAGTATCTCCAAGCCTTGATCTTGAATGAAGTTGTGGATTATAATATGTTCCAATAATGGAATAAAAATAGGAGAGAAAGAAAGATTAAAAGGTAGTGATGAGGGTTGGTGACAACCTGAGCTATTTGTAGAACATATGAGTTCTGTAGCATACATATTAAGAAAATACAAAGAAATACGATTTGCAATGATATGATTTTGGGATGTACTTATCAGCCTTTTTCCACCCCCAAGCATATAATATAGGCATGAACACTGACAGAAATAAAGGAAAAGAAAGAAAAAATACCTGATAAACACTTTAATGGAATCCTGGATTCTTTTCATGGTTACTGGAGAAATAATCACCTGTTAAATAAATGATTTAGAATGGCCTTACCATTATTTATTTCTATCCTATTGTGAGGAAAGGGTGACATCTCTGAGCACTTCAGAATAGAATAGAATAACAGAATTGGAAGGGACTTTGGAGGTCTTCTAGTCCAACCCCCTGCTTAGGCAGGAAACCCTACACCACTTCAGACAAATGGTTATCCAACATCTTCTTAAAAGCTTCCAGTGTTAGAGTATTCACAACTCCTGGAGGCAAGGTGTTCCACTGATTAATTGTTCTAACTTCAGAGGGAATGGAGCTCTCTTGGACATACAGATTAATGACATTTTGTAGACATTCAAGGAAACGAAAGTGCACAAGAAAAAGAGAGAAAACTCTGTGTCAGTTCGTCAACGAAGAGAGTACCAGTAATGGATCATTAGAGACAGGAAACAAGAAAAACCCAGGTAGATATTGGAGCCATCATGCAAAATAATACTGTTATCAAAAGTCAATTATGTTTATCCCCTAAAACCATAAGCAAAACAATGCAGTGACTCTCCATATGTCTTAAACTGCATATTATATATCTTAGTTCCCACTAAGAGTTCCCACTTGTTCCCACAGTGACAGCAAATAAAAGTTTTATTTCAGATTTTCAGATTCTAATTTATACCTGGATAGATAGAAGAGAGAGTGGGGAGAGGGAGGGAGGGAAGGAGGGAGGGAGAGAGAGTTCATCCAGGTATAAATTAGAATCTGAGACTCTGAAATAAAACTCTTATTTGCTGTCACTTTTATTTTGCATGAGGTAATATATATGTATATATGGAATCATAGATTCCAGTCATGGAATCATAGCAGGGACTGATATAAAATTACCCTTGAAGGTTGTCTAGATAAAGGAATGTTTTAATAGTCAGGATAGAATTTGAGTTTATGTAAAAAAAAATCTGCTTCTTTGCACCTTGCAAAAAGAATAACTCATCAAGTTCAGTTGGGCCAAAAGACAATCAGGAGATAAAATATTTGTCAACTAGTGGCCACAGTGTAGTGGGAGTGGGGGAAGCAGATTATGTCAGTGCCAATGTTTAAACTACGTTTGAACGAACTGTTGTGGTTGACTTCATCAGCAGTGAATAGAAAGTTAGCTTCTGCATTTGTTTATTACAGATTGGGTACTGGAATGACATGGATAAATTAGTCTTGATTCAACATGAGCCTACACTGGGCAATGACACAGCTGCCCTTGAGAACAGAACAGTAATTGTAACTACAATTATGGTAAGTTTATTTTTCTACTCTTTGAGGGAAGCCAAATATTTACCTCATTATACACTAAATGCTCACTTTGGTAGAATTCAGGAAGTAATGTTTAGGGTTCTATCTATTTCAAATGAATATAGAACATTTTTACATAATTTAGACTGCTTTGGAGATTACTTTTTAAAACATCATATCAACCTTTCAGTTAATCTCTGTAAAATGCAATATACTACAAACAAGAATAGAAAGTTTTGAAAAAAAGGGGGGAAAACTTTTATTTTCTATAACTGTACCCTCATTCATTCTTGCCATGTTGTTGTTTTTATTGTTGACACTGCTGTTTTTAAGGGAAACTGTATGCCTTGTAAAAAAAATAAATGAGAATTCATAAAAATGCACAGTGATTTCTATAACAAACACCTTTAGTATATATGGTTAGTTATTTTTAGAGTGTCACCCATTTTTTTAAAAAATGGGTATAACATTGAAAAACACAGATTCTCACAATTTCTACTATTTTCTATTGTAAATAGATTACTAAACAAAATTCAACAACTACAACTTAGCCAAATTTTAGCCTTTCTTTATTTTGTTCATTTATTTTATAGGTTGACATGTCTTTCCAATAATGTCTTACACTGAGCAGACTTCATGGCTCCAAATATTAACGAGATTAATAATTAAGATACAACAATAGCATAGTATAAATTACCCAGATGTCAATGAACAGTTGTAATCTATGCATGCATTTACTGTTCAGGAAGGATAAATACAACCCCAAAAGTTCCTGGACTACAAGATCTTCAGTGTTTACAAATTGTTATTCAGGGCCCATCTATATGAGGGGAAATGCCGTTTAATAGAATGGGAATGATGATTAAAGATACCTAACCCTAGGATCCCTATATATAGCATTACTTAAAGTCCCCAGAGAGACCTTATCCTTCCAGGACTCAAGGAATGGGCAGAGACTATTGGGAGAAGGTGGTCCCAGAGATATCCACATGCTGAACCATACACAGCTTTTAAGGTTGACTACCAGCATCTTGAATTACCTTGAGAAATAAACTAATAACTAGTACTGCTTTCAGAACAGACATGGGCAAACCACCTGACACACGGGATAGTCCAAAACTGCATTCTGGGCCAAACTGAAATTCCCAGGTGCTCTTCAAGATTCATTGCAGTAAAGGTGATAAAGGCATAAGTGACTATGAACAAACCTCCCAATCTAGGAAAGATCATAACTAGCACGCAACATGAAATTGTGCAAAATTCCTCTTAGCCATAACTGCCCGCTTGCTCTTCAAACAGAGTGCTAGATGAAGAGTCTTAACAAGATGAGCAATGACTTCTTAAAGGGGGACACCTCACCATCTGCCCTGTCTTCCAAAATGCATTCACCACTGTCCAAAACCAGGTTGTTTTGTCACTTCTGAAAAAGGCTGATCAAATAGGAGGAAGATCCATAGCAACTAGAAAGTCATCTGATCCTAACAAAAATAGTTAATTTCCCCCACCTTCAAATAACATTGCAATTGCTCCAGTATTTTTTTTTTAAAACAAACAAACAAACCATATTTAACTTGTGGCCTCCTGCGTGAGTTTAGTCCTCTGACCTTGAATGAACTTAGAGTTTCCATAGAGGCTATAAATTTATGAGCTGTCTCTTTTCCTGATCCCAAAAAATGCTAATTAAAGGTTGCAATTAAAGTTTCCTAAAGCTCAACTCAGGAACTCTACCAGGAAGCTAGGCTGAGGTCCAAGAGCTTGGGCAAGGATGCCACTATAAAGTAGGGAAGCAGTAGAACAACAATTTCCCAGCTTGTCCTAAGAGATCAATTTCAAAAACAAGCTGGCGTATCCAGTTATCTGCGGAACAAAGCCTCTAATCATCAGCATCTCCTATAACCGTAATGGCGAACCTATGGAATGAGTGTCGGAAGTGGCATGTAGAGCCATCTCTCCGGGCATGCCAGCTGTTGCCCATTGCTCTTCTGGGTACTGGCGTGACAGCTAGTTGGTTTTTGTGGAAGCGGGACCGCTGAAAACTGGAAGAGCAGCTCCCTGGCACGCATGTATGCGCCAGGAAACTGAGCTTCCAGTTTCCGGTGCATGCATGTGCACTGGCCAGCTGGTCTTTGCGCATGCATGCATGCCAGAAACTGGAAGTCTACATGCATGCTGGAAACCAAAAGCTCAGCTTCTCGGCGCGCACATGCTCGTTGGGGAGCTGCTCTTTTGGTTTCTGGTGCTCCATGTGTGCGCGCCAGGGAGCTGCTCTTCCAGTTTCCAGCGCTCCTCCGCACGCATTCCTGTTTTGGCACTCGATGGCGAAAAGGTTCACCAACACTGTCCTATAAGTTTCTCAGTAATATAATTCACTCTCATCCACACTAATACCAGTTATGAGAAGAAATGTTTACAAGTACAAACAACAGCAGCAGCTGGAACCTAAGCTTTCAAGGACATGATAAACTGTCTTCTAGTGTGAGCTGTGGGAGAAGTAATAGAAGTAAGGATGGATCTCAGTTGCTCACTCCTTTTTCCTAGGATAGTCCCACCTCTTTACCCCATCATGTTCCTCTCTGTTCACCAATACCTTAATTTCTATCACTTCTCCTTCATTCCCTTTATTCCAATACTCCCTACCCCTGAATGTGCCAATTACAGCCGTCCCTTACCATCCTTTCTCCTCTTCCATTTCCATTTCTATTTCTATGTAATTGCTCTTCCGATATTCCAAATCACTTCTTCCAAATTATCCCAACCCATCAGGGTACCAGAGGTGGGATTCCCTACCGGTTTGCAAATGTGAGCGCACGTGCACCACCTTCAACGCATGCTCGGCCTTATGCAGATGCTATTTGCTTGCACGTGTGCCTTCCACAGACTCCAAAACGTGGCTAAATAGGACGGCATTTAATCCGGGCTGGTGGGCGGGGCCTACCGCAGTCGCCGCTACCGGTTCACACGAACCAGACAGAACCGGCTGAATCCCACCACTGGAGTGTACTTGACAATAAACAAGGGTGATTCATCAGGACTACTGATGAACTTTCAATAACTTCCATCTCCAACCCAACTGTCATTGCACTCAGCTGCCCACCTCCTACACACCAAAACTTTAGCTCTTGAAAATGCTTAGAAGGCATTTAATAAGTATTGTCGCCTAGATTCTAACTCCAGAAATCTTTTACTTTCACTCAAAGGCTTGACCTTCCACCACCCTATCTCAAGTCGACTGCATCTTTTCTTCTTTTCTACTTCCATACTTTTTTTTTGTCCTCCTAATTTTCTCAGTGCTTTCTAAATGGGCTAGAAGATGCTGAAGCACTCCATATCGAATTACCAGAACCAGTTCTTCAGTATATACTACCTTCACCCATACAGATAAATTGTGCAGGCATTTTTCAGATATTTAATTCTTTTGAGGACTCTGGCCACCATATAGCAGTTGCTCCAGTAGATACATCCTGCCCATACCAGTCATTTGGATTCAGTAAATAACTTCAGTCCAAGAAGTCCAAACTGATTCCTATTGTCTACATTGATTCATGGAGGCATAACAGCCTGAATTCCACCAATTCCTCTGCTGTTACCAGGCCATTAAATCCAATAGCCTCCCACCGGCCAGTTCGCTCCTACAGAGAGGGCCTCCTCAGGGTGCCGTCGGCTAGACAATGCCGGCTGGCGACCCCCAGGAGGAGAGCCTTCTCTGTGGTGGCACCTACCCTTTGGAACAATCTACCCCCAGAGATACGAGTGATCTCCGACCTCTGGACTTTTCGTCGGGCCCTAAAAACTCATCTCTTTCAGTTAGCCGGTCTCTCTTGATTTTATGATTTTATGGTTGATTTTAAATTTTGATATGGATTTTAAATTGATAAATTTTAAACTATGGGCCAAATTTAATTATTTTAAATCTATTTTTAATCGTACTTTATGTATAAATGTTTTATTTTGGCTGTTCACCGCCCTGAGTCCGAAAGGAGAAGGGCGGTATAGAAATTTGAAAAATAAATAAATAAATAAATAAATAAATAAATAAATAATAAATAAATAAATAAATAAATAAATAAATAAATAAATAATCCATAATCAAAGCATCAGTGGCTCACTGCAAAAGAGAGGATCTGTTATGGGTCTATTATGATATAGGCACTAGCACCACTTCCCCAGTCACCAGCACTGTGTTCTCCATCCTCTTTCCACCAATATCTGGTGCAAAACTTCATTTATCCTATCAATCCTACTCTACTCTTACTCTCTCTAACAGTTTCCAATAACTTCCCCTGTTTGCAACTTTCTAACTTCCTTTCTACCTAAGAGCTGTTCCTCCCACAATGCCTTCTTGCGGGGGGGGGGTGGGGGGGAATATTTTCAGTGCAGTTAATTTCAATGCATAGAACAAACTGGTTAATTCTTTTATAGCCAACCGAACTGTGAAAAGATTTCAGCTTTGGTTGATCGTAGTTATTACTGCTGCTGTTGTTGTTATTACTCAGTATTATTTAGTAAATAAACCTCTAAAAGAATTTTAACGAAACAAGCGACATGTATTCATTTTCTTAATTCAATTTCATTACTATAGAGCTCTAAAATTTCAAATGGTTCCTTTTTAATTGAGCAAAATAGCTAACATCTTTCTTTTCTTGAAGTCAGTAGCACCCTTTAATCTGATGAGTGTTGAGGGAGACTGTCAAAGAATAACCTTAATCTGATTAATTTAATAATTCTCCACTTAACGCACTGTTCTTTTTATGGACAAAGTTTGGATTATTTTTTTCACCAAACATTCCAGATTGCATTTATTTTAAACAATACAAAGTGTTTCGTATTGTATTGTTATATTGTTTGTATGAAATATAGTTGTATAATTTAGGGTAGTGATCCATACGCTTCCTTCTGACAAATTACCTGTTAAGGATTATCGTTCTTGGATAACAAGGACTAACATTCTATAGAGGAATTCTAAATGTAAACCTGATTGTATAGTTCTTCTTTGCATGGGATTT